CATAAGAGACTCTTTTTTTAAAATTTTATTTTTTATAAACATATATTTTTATCCCCAGGGGTACAGGTCTGTGAATCGCCAGGTTTACACACTTCACAGCATTCACCATAGCACATACCCTTCCCCAATGTCCATAACCCCACCCCCCTCCCAACCCCCCTCCCCCCATCAACCCTCAGTTTGTTTTGTGAGATTAAGAGTCACTTATGGTTTGTCTCCCTCCCAATCCCATCTTGTTTCATTTATTCTTCTCCTATCTCCTTAACGCCCCATGTTGCATCTCCTCTCCCTCATATCAGGGAGATCATATGATAGTTGTCTTTCTCTGATTGACTTATTTCGCTAAGCATGATACCCTCTAGTTCCATCCACGTCGTCGCAAATGGCAAGATTTCATTTCTTTTGATGGCTGCATAGTATTCCATTGTGTATATATACCACATCTTCTTTATCCATTCGTCTGTTGATGGACATCTAGGTTCTTTCCATAGTTTGGCTATTGTAGACATTGCTGCTATAAACATTTGGGTGCACGTGCCCCTTCGGATCACTACGTTTGTATCTTTAGGGTAAATACCCAGTAGTGCAACTGCTGGGTCATAGGGTAGTTCTATTTTCAACATTTTGAGGAAGCTCCATGCTGTTTTCCAGAGTGGTTGCACCAACTTGCATTCCCACCAACAGTGTAGGAGGGTTCCCCTTTCTCCGCATCCTCGCCAGCATCTGTCATTTCCTGACTTGTTAATTTTAGCCATTCTGACTGGTATGAGGTGATATCTCATTGTGGTTTTGATTTGTATTTCCCTGATGCCGAGTGATATGGAACAATTTTTCATGTGTCTGTTGGCCATCTGGATGTCTTCTTTGCAGAAATGTCTGTTCATGTCTTCTGCCCATTTCTTGATTGGATTATTTGTTCTTTGGGTGTTGAGTTTGCTAAGTTCTTTATAGATTTTGGACACTAGCCCTTTATCTGATATGTCGTTTGCAAATATCTTCTCCCATTCTGTCAGTTGTCTTTTGGTTTTGTTAACTGTTTCCTTTGCTGTGCAAAAGCTTTTGATCTTAATAAAATCCCAATAGTTCATTTTTGTCCTTGCTTCCCTTGCCTTTGGCGATGTTTCTAGGAAGATGTTGCTGCGGCTGAGGTCAAAGAGGTTGCTGCCTGTGTTCTCCTCAAGGATTTTGATGGATTCCTTTCTCACATTGAGGTCCTTCATCCATTTTGAGTCTATTTTCGTGTGTGGTGTAAGGAAATGATCCAATTTCATTTTTCTGCATGTGGCTGTCCAATTTTCCCAACACCATTTACTGAAGAGGCTGTCTTTTTTCCATTGGACATTCTTTCCTGCATTGTCGAGGATTAGTTGACCATAGAGTTGAGGGTCTATTTCTGGGTTCTCTATTCTGTTCCATTGATCTATGTGTCTGTTTTTGTGCCAGTACCATGCTGTCTTGATGATGACAGCTTTGTAATAGAGCTTGAAGTCTGGAATTGTGATGCCACCGACTTTGGCTTTCTTTTTCAATATTCCTTTGGCTATTCGAGGTCTTTTCTGGTTCCATATAAATTTTAGGATTATTTGTTCCATTTCTTTGAAAAAAATGGATGGTACTTTGATAGGAATTGCATTAAATGTGTAGATTGCTTTAGGTAGCATAGACATTTTCACAATATTTATTCTTCCAATCCAGGAGCATGGAACATTTTTCCATTTCTTTGTGTCTTCCTCAATTTCTTTCATGAGTACTTTATAGTTTTCTGTGTATAGATTCTTAGTCTCTTTGGTTAGGTTTATTCCTAGGTATCTTATAGTTTTGGGTGCAATTGTAAATGGGATGGACTCCTGAATTTCTCTTTCTTCTGTCTTGTTGTTGGTGTAGAGAAATGCAACTGATTTCTGTGCATTGATTTTATATCCTGACACTTTACTGAATTCCTGTACCAGTTCTAGCAGTTTTGGAGTGGAGTCTTTTGGGTTTTCCACATATAGTATCATATCATCTGCGAAGAGTGATAGTTTGACTTCTTCTTTGCCGATTTGGATGCCTTTAATTTCCTTTTGTTGTCTGATTGCTGAGGCTAGGACTTCTAGTACTATGTTGAATAGCAGTGGTGATAATGGACATCCCTGCTGTGTTCCTGACCTTAGCAGAAAGAAAAGCTTTCAGTTTTTCTCCATTGAGAATGATATTTGCGGTGGGTTTTTCATAGATGGCTTTGATAATATTGAGGTATGTGCCCTCTATCCCTACACTTTGAAGAGTTTTGATCAGAAAGGGATGCTGTACTTTGTCAAATGCTTTTTCAGCATCTATTGAGAGTATCATACATAAGAGACTCTTAATGTCACAAAACAAACTAAGGGGTGCCAGGGGGAGGGGGGTAGGGAGATAGTGGTGGGGTTATGGACATTGGGAAGGGTATGTGATATGGTGAGTGCTGTGAAGTGTGTAAATCTGGCGATTCACAGACCTATACCCCTGGGGCTAATAATACATTATATGTTTATAAAAAATTAAAAAATTAAAAAAAACCCTGGCTCACTGTAAGCTCTCAATAAATGTTATATACCATTGCTGTGTCATTATTATTCTTTCAGGACTTAAACAAATGATGACTTAGCACTTACAATGAACCAGGGTCTATGCAGGGTGCTGGCCATTCACAATGGCTCTACCAGTTATGATCGTGAGGAAAACCACAGGGAAGTTAAGGGGGCTGTCTGTCTAGATCATACTTAGTCCAGAGGCCTTAGGGGAGACTCTTCTGAAGAAGTGTCACTGTCAGCTTAGAATTATGGATCCAAAGGTGATCCTTCCTGTTTTCTAAAAGAGCCAGCTCCCTCCTTTTCAGTGCGGTGTACTATTTCACAGTATAAGTGTACCACAATTTATTCAGCTATTGTCATGACAATGGAAGTGATTACTCTCTTGGAACTCAAAACTATCTTGTGTTATTGTTATTTGTTTAGCATTTACTACTTACCACTTTGCCTTTGCATTTTTATTATCTTTATATGCTTGTAACTGGACTAACTACTAGTGAGATTTCTGGGGCAGCTTGTAGGAGCCTATTGAAGGCTGGGACTGTGGGGGTTGCTGGCAGGGGTTTGACAGCACTGTTTTCTCCTTCCTTCCTTCCTCTTTCATTCATTCATTCATTCATTCATTGTGATAAAAAACGGAAAATGTGAAACCTACCCTCAACAAATTTTTAACTGTGTTAGCAGCCCTTGTGTACAGTATTGTTAGCTAAACACATATTGTTATATTGTAGATCTCTAGAGCTTTTTCATCTCACATGACCAAAGCTCTGTACCCATTGATGGCAACCCTCCATGTTCCCCTCCCCCAGGCCCTGGCAACCATCATTCTCCTTTCTGCTTCTTTGAATTTGACTATGCTATCTACTTCAGGTAAGTGGAATCATTCAGTGTGTGTCCTTCTGTGGCTAGCTCACTTCACTTAGCAGAATGCTCTGTTTTCTCAAGTAGGGGTATGGTCAGGGCAGGACCTTATGACCCCATAGGATCCCTCTCTTTGGCTGCTACTATAGGGCCTGAGTAGAGGGAAAGCTGTACTAAGGGCCTGTTTCTGCGATAGAGGCTTTCTACACATAACCTCTTTTGAGTTTCTTAAAATCCCAGGATTTTGATCCCAATGACCAGTGTTTGAGGACAAGGAAGAAACAAAACCCAGAAAGGCTGTGTTGTCTCGTTGCAGATCATGGCCAGGAGGTGGTAAACAGATCTTCTATAGGTTTCTTTCACTCCATAACCTGTGTTTTAATTTTTTAATAAAAAAATCTTTTTAGAGATTTATTTATTTATATTAGAGAGAGAGCACACAAGCAGGAGGAGGGGCAGAGGGAGAGCCTCTCAAGCAGACTCCTCACAGAGGCTGGAGGCTGATGCAGGGCTCGATCTCAGGACCAAGCTGAAATCAAGAGTTGGACACTCAACTGATTGAGCCACCCAGGTGCCCCTGAAGTCTGTGTTTTAAAACAGTATTCTCCTGCTGCTTTTCTGTGGAGGCCTGAGTCCTCCAGTTTTTAGCTACAAGGAAAAGACATGCATGGTTTCTAAATTCATCATTCATCGTTCATTCATTCTTCATGTCTTGAGATGTGCCTTTGAAAGTCACTGATTTAAGGCACCACCTCCAGCAACCACCTGACCCAGAGACCTGGGCATCCTATTTGACTCCTCTCTCTCCTCATATCCAGTCCATACCAAAACCAAGCAAAGGCTATCATTGACTTTGACAGACTGAGCTAATGTTGGATGGTTGGCTTCCCATGCTTCCTAAAGTTAAATTTCGGCTTTCTGAGACCAACCAAGAAGGTGAAGTCGGTGCTCTCTGGTCATGGGTGGGAGGAAGCAAGCTGTGCACAGGCCCCCTCCCCACCTTCTCTCAAGTGCCCAGCCCTCTCCCAACCTATCTGGTATTTTCCTGACCACCAAGCTTGCCGACTTTTGGGAGACTGGATCAGCCTTCTAGTTACCGTCCTTGCAATGGGTGAAGGCAATTTGCTTGGCCCATTGTACATGAGCAATAACAGACATGGTAGCTCATTACCTTTCCTCTTTATTTCCTGAAGATTTCTCTTATTAAGCATTCTCTTCTCCTGTCAAAATTCAAAGTATGCTCCAGCAGCCCTTGTGTAGCCAAATATACTCTGGGTCCATTCATTTAGCATATTGTCGTTTTCAGACTTTATGTCCTGTCAGAGAAAGACACTCACAGAAATAAAACAAAAGAACAGAAGTCTCCAAATGAATGAGCTTGCTTCATGGAGGAGAAAGTCGAAGTATTAAAATCGCTCATCAGATGTTCTGAAAAATCATTTCAGCTGCTCAGAAAAAAAAAAAAAGAAACAAAATTTTATTTTGAAGGATGTGTTCCAAGAACTTCCCCTTTGATTTTTTTTAAAAACCATCTGTCATGTTTGTTTCATTCCAGCCTTGAAGTAAATAGATTGAGAGTATACGGTGGCCATTGAAACCCTCCACAGAAGAACAGAAGCAGCCTGCGCTGTCAGTGCCCTTCTGGTGTACTTTAATCAAAAGGCTTTGAAATTAGGGGGAAAAAAAATCCCATAGACATTTTGCCTGAGTTGGAATATGGTGTGCAGAGCACAGAACGTTATTTTGACCTATTGTGGAATGTCTCGAAACTTTTTCTTTTCCTTTGGGGCGGCAAGGAGACACTAATGCAGAGTGACTTTTTATTGGCACCAGGGAATCTGTTTTTCCCTTTTATACTCTGGTTGAGCCCTCTGAACTCGAGACTTGATCTTCCAATAGAGGTGAACCTTCACCTTGCATCGAGGCGAATGGAGGATGCTGTTCTTCAGTTAGAATGAAGAAGCTTGGCTTTAAAATTCATCTTGTGCCCTTAACCTCATGATGTAATTTTTACTTCTCAGTGATTCTGCTGCAAGGAGCTTGCTCTCCTCCATAAGAATCCCCAAGGTAATGGGATGCTTTTCTTGATCATTTCTTTTGAACTCGATGCTTTTGTTCCTTAAATGCCACCTGCAAAGAAGACCCACGAACTGGGCATCGCTCCCTCCTATAAGACAGAATAATTATTCCCTGGAATAGAGGAGCTTTCATAGATCAATAAGAGTTTCAGAGCAGGAAAAACAACAGGAATGTGAGAAACTCATTATAATATAAAAATATTCTAAATAAATAAATGGCAAGTACTAACATGCTCAAAATAATAGTGTGGAAGTGACTGACAAAGTGCGAGCTTGTAAACTCAGATACATAGCGGTGCTAAAGCTCCATTATGATTAAAAATGATGATGCTTATAGGCCATTTCAGTGATAATTTGTTTAAAATAGATGGGCCAACTCTACCACTTATATGTGTTGATAGAATGAAAATTAGCATACGTTGTAAGATGTGAAGTCACCTGATTAATACTTAAAAATATCAGGGATTCATTACAATGTAAATGAAATGTAAAACTTAATGTGGCAACATTGAACTATCTGCTGAAGAAATGATATGTTGTTTGGGATTAGCCCCCAAATAATCTAGCCTGTGTATTGGGGAGGGGCTGGAGAGGATTCAGAAGAAACAAGATGGACTAAGCATGACTAGTCATTGGAATGGGTAAAAGGAACGTGGGAATACAGTATATACTCACCCTACTTTTGTATATATTTGGAATGTTCCAGAAGAAAATAAATCATAAAGTTGGTGAAGAAATCAATGTGACAAATTGAGGGTTTTTTAGGTATGGGAGTATTTCATCAGAGAGCTTGAGGTAGAAAAGCATAGTGTGTAGGAAGTCATAATTTATTTTACAACCTTCCCTTAAATATTGATAAAATGATAAGGTCGGGACATTCAGGATGACCATGAGTGATTCTGATGCCTGACTCGGATTGACAAACTCAGGAAGAAAAGAGAAAGATGCAGCAAGCAATTTTTAAAAAAGAACGAGCTCTTGTAATTCAGATATTTGAGTGATTGGTTTTTCCCTCCTAATAGAGGGGTAACCTCATTTCATGAACAACTTTAAACCTGTCCCAGGATCAGGCATAGAATATTGTCTACAAACAGCCTTAGTGACTGTCTGCATATGGGCGAATTACAACTTTTAAAAATGTTTACCTGCTTGAACGTTTCAGATTCACAAGTGTGCCTGGATGTCTTTTTAACAAATCAAAGTACCCAAACAATGGGAAAAGCTGGAACATACGTCATTGTTTTTATTGATAAGTAAGAAGAGACCCATGGAAAAATATATCTTTTTTTTTTTGCTACCCTCACTCCCCCACCCTCTTATTGTCTCTTGGAATGCCCTGTGCTTGGTTTACATCAGCAAATATATATAATTTAGAGATGCTTGACACAGCAAGTTTCTCATTTTCAAGCTAAAATGAAGGGGATGGCTTATGTCACTGACAGATCCATGAGAGTTGGTTTTTCTAAAACAGTATTCTGTGAAGCCTTCAGATTTTTCAAAATGCTTTCAATTTGGTGATGTTGTTGGAAAAATATTTGCTTCCAAATCAGTGTGCAGCATAAAACAGAAGGGCTCAGGCCTTGCTGCTTTGCATTAGCAGGAATGAGGAATATTATTATTGTCTCAATGGCATAGTAATTCCTGCTGCTTTGGAAGCTGAGCGGTTCTCTGGGAAACATGCTAATGTTCTTACAGCCCTTGAAAATACCAAACCTGTGTTGTCATAGTGGACAGATTGATACTTCAAACTGTGACTTGTAATACTTTGGTGAGTATCTGGATATTTTTGCATCATGTCTGAGGAAAGATTTGAAAACATAAATTTGCATATTTGTAATAATTCTGTTATGATGACAGCATAAGGGACCTTCACCCCACATCCAGGCATATGTTACTGTTTCTGTAGGACCTCAGGGACCAGCCTATATCCTTGGAAGTCTTTGCTGTTTGGTGCCAAACTGAAGCCAACTACAATCTATTTTCTTTTCTGAGAAGGAATATTCTGGAAGGATCTGATGGGAAGAACTTCTATGAGTAGTCTTCTGAATGACTCTCAGAATAAGGGTTAAAATCAGGTATTTTTACCTCAGATTGTATCACCCTTCCATGCTGAGCATCGTTGGAGAGGCTGCCTGATTCCCAACTCCACAGCAGGACCCTCAGGGTGGAATCAGAGGGAAGGGGATAGAACGGAGCATGGTCCCTCTTGGTCTGCATCAGTCTTCAGCAGTCAACCTGGGCTTCTTGATGGCAAATGTTTTAAAAGAAAATATTTATACGACCTTAAAAATAAAACACTAAGACAAGAGAGAAATGACTCAGGGCGCTTCACTGAAATTATATTTAAAAAGGATCCAATAGTATCTTTACTTTCTGCCTGGAGATCACTGTGGACCTGACTCATTTTGAGCAATTCAGGCAAATATGACTTATGAATCTAATTGCTCAGACTGGACTCAAGATCTCTGGGCCTGGAAAATTTCTCTCAGTAATAAATGTTTGGGAAGAGGAGGTAAAAGATGTTATCCTCACCTCCTCTGGGAAGTAGATGAGACTCGTCTCTTGTACTTGCCCAGTTTCCTCTTTCTAGACGCCATGGCATCCCTTTCCCCTCCTTCCAGCTACTCCCAGTCTCTTCTTTTCTTCCTTCTTCCTTCCCTCCCTCCCCCTTTTCTCAGTCCCTCTTCCTTGATCTCTTTCTCACACACATTCTCCATCTTCTTTTCAAAACCTGCTTCTTGATAAGGGTCTGAGAAAATTTCACACATAAAAGAAATGTTACCCCTCCTTGAAATAAATATGTTTGAGTTATTTAAAGAGAAATCAAAGGGTGCCTGGGTGGCGCAGTGGGTTAAGCCTCTGCCTTCGGCTCAGGTCATGATCCCAGGATCCTGGGATGGAGCCCCACATCGGGCTCTCTGCTCAGTGGGGAACCTGCTTCCCCCTCCCCCTCTGCCTGCCACTCTGCCTACTGTGATCTCTCTCTCTCTGTGTCAAATAAATAAAATATTTTAAAAAAGAGAGAGAGAGAAATCAAAAGTTCAAAAAAACAAAAAAGAAACACAGCCATAGAATTTGAGGCATCAGAAGTAACAGGTGTGGGCGGTATATTCTGGGGTTGAAGAATTGTCCAGGGGGCAACAGCCTCCCTGTGAGACCTTAGGATGTTAAACTTCTGTTGTGCATCGCTCCAACCTGGGAGATACTTCCAATGGCTCAGGAGGAAAGGCAGCATCAAGGGAAAGTAGAAAACCAAAAAACCAGGCTTAAGAAAATGTCCTCATATGCCTAGAAAGCCCTAATGTTTAATGTATCTTGTGCTGTTGTTGTTGTTGTTGTTTCCAATGAAGGAATTTACAACTTGATAACAGAGAACAGGTGAACTTTGAGTCCAAGGAGCTGAATGGCCCTTCCAGGTTTGCATGGCCACACCCGTTGGGGTTTCCTACAGAAAAACCCAGTGCTCAGAGTTTTAAACCTGTTGACAAACGCACCTCAGGGCCTGGTTAACGCATCTGCCCAGCCTGTAATTTAGAAGGCAAAACTGGTCTTATTTACAAAGATCCAAGGGCACACTTGGTATTCTACAGAACACAGATGAAAAACCCAGAGTTTCCTCCCTAGCAAGCTGGGGTATGACATGGGTTTGACATGGGGTATGACACCGTGCCTTTGTTCTGCTCTCTAAACCTGAAAAGGCTCCCTAAGCAATTTGAAGGAGGTAGCACTGTCATTGAGAGCCATATCCATGCTCATGCTTGGGAAAGGCTTTAATTTTTTAATTTTTATTTTTTTTAGATTTTATTTATTTATTTGACACAGAGAGAGATCACAAGTAGGCAGAGAGGCAGGCAGAGGGGGAGGGGGAAGCAGGCCCCCTGCTGAGCAGGGAGCCCTATGTGGGGTTTGATCCCAAGACCCTGAGATCATGAAGTGAGCTGAAGGCAGAGGCTTCACCCACTGAGCCACCCAGGCACCCCTGGGAAAGGCTTTAGAGTCAAATAATTTCAGAGAAAACTCAGAATTTGGAAATTGAAAAATAGGGAGTTGGGTAGTTTCCATAGCAACTTTGCCATCTGCCTAGAACGTCATGGGGTGGCCCTGCCCTACCTTTTTCAAGAAGAAACTTAGGTGTTCTTAGTGGAAATTCCTAGACTGTAGATTTAATTCAGGCAAGAATCTGAATTCGGGTCTGGTTAGAGAAGGCAAAGTGGGAGAAGAGAAGGTTGGACAAAGGGGAGGGCAGACACGTGATCCACCAAGAATGAGAGGGCAGAAGAGCTTTATTTAGACTGAGAAAGTACCAATTTGAAGCAGAAACTGAGATCTACAAAATCCCACATTGAAATAGTGTCTTCGTTTAAAAGTCAGAGTTCCAGGACCTGATTCACTATGACCTAAGGCAGTGTGGGAGTGTGCCAGGAGCATTAGACTCTTATCCTGAGCATTCTTGCACCATTTCTGACTCTGAAGCCTTCAGAAATAGCAAAAATGATGCTCAGGGGGAAGAGGAGGATCAGGAGGAGGGCAGGACTTTGTCACTAAAGTTTTCCTGGTGGCAGCAAACTCTGCGCTGAGAATATGAAACTTCTGAAACCAGAGGACTGGGTGTGAGTAGGTGTTTCAGAAATTCCACCAAACTTGCTCTGTGGGGAAAAGACAATTTTTCTATGTTTTGGGGTTTCTCTTCTCAGATTGTATTAGCACTCATTTTGGAGTGATGTTTAGCCTCAAGGCTTGCAATGTGCAAACTTTGCAATTAAAATACATTTCTGCTTATATTTCTCCTTCCAGTGAACTTGTGTTGAGATGCCTATGATCAGCATCTAGCAGTGTCTTTTATGCCTACCTCAGACTCTCTAATATATTTTTCTTAAAAGACAGCATGGGGTCATTAATGGGCTTTCTAGTTCAAGCTGAAGCATTGGAATGAATTAATAAAGACTTCAGGCTTTACACAGGCTAAGGAAAGGAGTACATATCCGTACCCCTGAAATAAGTAATACATTATATGTTAATTTAAAAATAAACCAAAGAGTTTATAATAAAAAAATAGTCACAAAAGAATTTATAATTGAAAGTCACATCCAGTCTTTCTTTTTTACTTTCATATTGATGAAGTTGTTTTGTTACAGGTTGTTAGCAGGATCCTCAGACGTGACGTGGGGCATTTCCGTCTTTAATCCCAAGCTCACTTCCTCCTATTACAATGAGACCTTCCATGTCATAAGGTGATATTTCACAAGAGAAAACCACAGAAACTGTATGAAACAGGTGAGAACATAAAACAGCATGGTGCATGAAATCACCTACTTAAATTGTGGGATGGTAGTTATTGCAAACATCATCAATTTTTTCTGCAAGGTTGAATGCTCCTTAGTGGGGAAAAAAAAAAAAGCAAAAGAGATTGCTCAACCACAGTCCCACCTAGAGATTTTTTTTTTTTTTAATGAAACTGTGCTGGTTATCCTGGGGACCCCCAAATGGAGTAAAGGAGTTTGAGCCCCTGTTAATGTAAGTCAAAGATCCTAATGGATAATGTATGCTTAGCAGACATGAGATTGAAGAAAAGTTATATACATACCTTCAGTGTAGTGACCTTGTTATTGTGATATGATCTAGTTCTTATTGATGGTTTTCTGGGCCTGTAATACCTAAAATGTTGGAAAATGAGTTAAATTTTTGCTGAATAATTTTTTAAAAAGATTTTATTTATTTGTTAGAGAGAGGGAGAGAACACAAGCAAGGTGTGGCACATGGAGGGAGAAGCAGGCTCCCTGCTGAGCAAGGAGGCTGGGATGTGGGACTCAATCCCAGGACCCTGGGATCAAGACCCAAGCTGAAGGCAGCCACTTAATCGACTGAGCCACCCAGGTCCCCCTTGCTTAAGAATTTTTTGGAACCCTGTACCTTTAAAAACACAGCATCCATAGAATAAAACATAATTAAAAGGGAATATGTGAGTTTCTGTACTCTCATAGGTCATTTTTCATTAAGATTTTTGGCTGTATACTGCTCCAGCATTTATAGTTCTTAGATTTTATGTCAAAATAGAACCACAAATATGATTAGATTCTCCAATTAAAGAATTAATATGGTTATCCAGTGACATTTGGGACACAACTCAACCAACTAGCAGACTGGGCAAACCGACATGATTGCATAGTATGCAAATTTTAATCATCCAAATTTGCAATAGCATTATATAAAATATGAATGACTTTAGGCACAGAAATAAAAATAATGTGAATTTCAAAAAAGTTAAAAGCCTTAAGAAATGATTCTATAATTTCAAAGCTGGGGGAGCTGAGTGATTTATAGACTGGGGAATGCTATTGCCACCTGGTAACCTCACTTGACCTTAGGATACAGAGTCATTTACTCCTCCTTGTCCTCTTAACATTCTTTACCTTCTTGGCAACTTCTGTAAGTGATTCTGATGACGACCGTACTAGGATTTTAACATTTACCATTATTATAATTTAAAATCTCCTGCCTAGAACATGTCTGATTCATAGCTGGTGCTCAATAAATACTTGTAAATGAATGAATAAGTTAGCATTTTTCTCTAACTCTTATAGGAGCACCATCTGAGCATTCATTAAATGGTGGTGCTCAGTGCTAGTCTCAAAAAGTACTGAAAAAAATAATATGGTGGTGAATTTTTAGATGTGATAATACTATTATTGTGTATCTATGATTTTGATTACATATGTATGAGAGGGAGAGAGAGGGAGGGAGAGAGAGAGAGAGAGACTGTTTTAAAAATTTGGTCTCAAAGCAAAAAGAAGCTACAAGGATTGTAGGTTTTTGTATCTTCTCCCATTTATACTTATTCATACGAAATCTCAATCTTGACAAGTGTGAGTTTTAATTCCGTGAGGTCTTCAGCCACACATTCTTCTCATAAAATGTATTTGTTTAGCATATAAAGTTGTTTAGAAGAATCCAACCCTCCCAGGAGAGGATGTTTGGAACAGATGTTTGCTCTGCTGAACTTAAGGCAGTCACCCCTCCCTCTGGGTACTTTTGAACTGATGTGGAGTTTTGAGCAAATTCTTGACTTGTACCCCAATTTCATATGTAGGGTATTTAGTGATCTTCTGTTATCTACTTCTTCTTTGATATTGTTATGTAAGATACAACCATGTTAGCAAAATAGAACTATTAAATCGACAGCTGCTAAAATCCAAGATTTTGTTTTTTAAGTGTATGGGGTAAATAGAAGAAAGAGGTCAGGCTTAAATGAAAAGCTTTTTCTCATTGTTATTGAGCTCCCCAAGGATGCTGAAACAGTATCTGGTCCTATTTTAAAACTGAACACTGAAACTTGGGTACATGTTATTTGGAAGACAAACATCATTATTAAAAAAAGCAAGGCAGAGCCTGGATATCTCTTTACAGTTTAAATGGAAATTTAACTAGTTCCATTTTTTTTAGTAGCTGTATATTTCGCAGGGAGGAGTGTACAACCCATCTGCCATTTGCCCCTAACCCCTTTTTCTGTACTCCTCTTTGGGTTGAGGTATATAGGGCTCAAGACCAGACTTACAGACTTTCAAGATAACATTCAAGTTGGGGAGTTGAGTCCCATGGAGATGGTATGGGAGGCCATTTCATCACCCATTTTTGGTATGGAAATTGGGCATGTCTTCATGGACATTGGCATAGATTAACAGAATGATTGATCCTAATTAGCCCAAACTTTAGATTACTCAGCTACAGGAACAACTCTATTCACTGTCTACAGAATGGTTTGAGATCTATTCTGTGAGGCTGATTTAACTTATTAAGATACTGTGTCTTCACAATGTGAGAATTCTCCCTGTAAATTATTCTGAGTAATTTATTGAGGAACTGTCGTATTTAATTAGCAAACTATGAAACTTAAAGTTGTCCTGTAAAAGGAGAGAGTATCCATAGCTGATTTTTCTTAATTCAACTGCTTCAAGAACCCGAGAAACACACACTTACAAATCTGTTTAACAAACAAGATATATGTGTATTTATGTAAATAGAACTTAGATTATAATAGCAAACACTCTTCAATATCACACTCCCATTAGAATTTTTGCAATGGAAACAGTGGTCAATTTTCATAATCCTCAATTCAAGTGATCAGTTATTCTCTTTCTGTGCTGGTTATTTACACCTCGTTTCACACTGACTTTGCTGTCATCAGTGTGTTTGGATGATCATCAATTTTGCAGAGGTTGACCCTTCAAGATAAAAATCCTCTTGCCTCTCCCCTGCATGGTTAAATGGGAAAATCTGCCAGGACTGATGAGCAGCCCATCAACTATACATGGTGAGCCACAAAAAGACTATAGAAAAGATTATAAACATCTATAGTATTAGTTACAGGGACATTATCCATAAAGCATGTAATCCTATCTAAACCTTCCTATGACAGTTTCACAGTGTGCCAGAATTTTTAGGATATTTTCTATTTTCAACCCGTGATCCCGTGTAATACACAGTCTTGGCATTTCTTATCACTGCCAACCATGCATTTCTCATTTTAAAAAAATGTTTGTTCCAAATTTCAATACTGTGTATCCTTTTTGCCTTAGACCAAATGCCTATCACACAGTCTCATCATTTTAATTAAACTCGGGCCAATCCAGGGCAAATGTTTGATTTTGACTCAAAAGGTGCATGCAAATCACAAATTCTATGCAATTCAGAATGGAAATACTTCCTGTAGCCTTCTTGCGGTGTGTGGAATGAAACAGTCTGCCGGATTTGTGATGGCACACTGTCGGAGAGGACCTGCTGATTCAAAAATAGAAAAATAAACTCATGTCCACCTGATAAGTAAGCGTCATGTGTCTGTAGTCTTAAGATCATCGGTCTAGAGAAGGAAAAGCCTGGGTCTGGAATGAGGCAGTCCTCAATTTTAGCCCAGCATCAGGTTAGCAAAAAGCTAACTGGCCACACACATGAGGACCACTGGGCCCTGGGAAATCACACACGAGACTGGCAATCAGGAGCTCTGGAGTTCCTTTGACTCTTCTAGCCTCTCTATGTGGACGACGACAGGGAAATTATTCCTTTTTCTGGCTTACAAAGTGGAGGAATCACTAAGCAACCATGCCTATTACATTTTTTCACAGCTTGTATGGTCAATTAGAGCCTTCAAGGAGGCAGTTCTCTAGTTGCTGAATTCATTTTCATGAATCAAGATTTTATATAAACATTGATAACCGGAACCTCAACAAAGAGACATCCATTAATAAAGAGTGCCATCAAAATAGGTGCCTTAAAAATCCCTTTTGGTCTGGGGGCGCCTGGGTGGCTCAGTGGGCGAAGCCTCTGCCTTTGACTCCGGTCATGATCTCAGGGTCCTGGGATCGAGCCCCGTGTTGGGCTCTCTGCTCAGCAGGGAGCCTGCTTCCCCCTCTCTCTCTGCCTGCTCCTCTGCCTACTTGTGATCTCTCTCTGTCAAATAGGTAAATAAAAAAATCTTTAAAAAAAAATCCATTTTGGTCTGTTTGTTGCCATAGTGAGTTACAGCGGTAAAATGAAAATAATCTTTTTTTGTGGAGAAAAAGTTTCTGCACATGTGAATTTGGGATATACTTGTCTGTTAGGCACATCTTACCATTCAGATCCTTACAACAAAGTGATTGGGCTTTCTAGATTTTATCATTATGCCTGGGATCAGGGGTGTGTGAGAAACGTGGGGACCTGAGTTCGTAGCATGAGCTACAGATGTTAGAGCAAGGAAGAGGAAGGTGTTGCTAGTTTTCATGGGATTTAAGGGTGATTACAGGTTGAGTGGTAACGAGAAGAATTCCCCTTGAGTTTACTTGAGCTTCCCTCTCACCCCATCATCTCCATCAGAGGTATTCTGACCAGTCCTTCTTTTTTTTTTTTTTTTTTTAAGATTTTTTAATTTATTTGTCAGAGAGAGAGAGGGAGAGAGAGCAAGCACAGGCAGACAGAATGGCAGGCAGAGGCAGAGGGAGAAGCAGGCTCCCCGCCGAGCAAGGAGCCCGATGCGGGACCCGATCCCAGGACGCTGGGATCATGACCTGAGCCGAAGGCAGCTGCTTAACCAACTGAGCCACCCAGGCGTCCCCTGACCAGTCCTTCTGAGTAAGTGTCTGTATGCCCTGAATGAAGTGCCAGTGTTAACCCCATTTCTCAAAATTATTTAGCAACTTGTAATCAACAGGCTCAACCTTCTACCTAGTCCAACAGTCAGTTCAATAATGTATTGTACCTGCTTTGTCTCATGACTATTTATAACACATCTATGATGTAGATGCTATTATTGTCTCTGATTTCTAGATGAGAAAACCAAGGCCTAGAAAATTTAGGTCACTCACTCAAGGTCACACAGTAAGAAGCAATACCAGAATTTGAACTCAAGTCTTCTTTACTCCACAGCCAGACTTACAATCTTTCTGATAGCCATCTTCATCTTCATTTTCCTGTTTGAGATGATTATTCCATGATTAGGCAACTCAAATGAGAATATTAAGTGAAATCTTCCTTTTTGGCCTTGTTCTGTACCTAAAGTAACAGAATTAAGCTAATACTCTAACAGAGGATTATGACCATTCCCATGCTTTCAATGCTTTGACATCACATCTTGGGCCTCTGCTATGTTTTGGGCCCACTGAAAATTTAACTTCCTAGAACTGTTGTTATTCATTATGCTTTTAAAACAGTTTTTTTAAAAAACTATTTAATTTATTTATTTGAGAGAGAGAAACAGAGAGAGAGAGAGGCCAAGCAGCAGAGGGAGAGGGTAAGTAGACTCTCCACTGAGCAAGGAGCCCGATGTGGGGCTCAATCCCAGGACTCTGGGATCATGACCTGAGCCAAAGGCAGACATTTAACAATTGAGCCACCCAGATGCCCCTAAAAGAGTTTTTTTGAGGGATAGCCGACAAATAACAAACTGTACATATTTGAAGTGTACAATAATTTTGTGTATACCTGTAAAATCATCACTCAAATCAAGATAATGAACATACCTACCACCCCCCAAAGCTTTCTTGTTCTCCTTATAATTACTCTTTCCACTGTGAACTGTTTTGAGATTTATCTGTGTTGTAGAGAGTATTGATAGCTCATTCCTTTTTATTGAGGGGTAGTAATTCAATGTATGGGTAGATCATAACTTATTTATGGATATTTGGGTTGTTTCCAGTTTTTTTCCTATTATGAATAAAGTTCTATGAACATTAATGTTCCAGTCTTGGGATGGACATATGCTTTCATGACCCTTTGATACATACATAGGAATAGAATTGTTGAATTATATGGTAGATGTATGTTTGACTTTTGAAAATACTGTCAATCTGTCAATACGGCCAATACTGTTGTCTTCCAAAGCAATGTACCATTTTGCATTATTACCACCAGTGTGTTGGTGTTCTAGCTGCTCTACATCCTTGCCAGCATTTGATATAGTCCTTTTAGTTTTATTTTTTCTTTTTGAAAATCTTTAATTTCCCTCAGAAGTATTTTTTAGTTTTCAGTGTACAAGTCATTCATACTTTTGTGAAGATTTTTCCCATTTATTGTATATTGTTGATGCCATTTTTTTAATTTTTTAAATGTCAATTTGCCATTGTTCTACTATGTAAAAATACAATGAGATTTATATGTGAATTTTGTAAGATACAACCTTACTAAACTTATTTATTAGGTCTAAATTCTCTTGGATTTTCAACATAGACTATCATGCCATCAGTAAATAATATAATTTTAATTTTATCCTTCTGATCTTAATTCTTTTTATTGCTTTTCCTTGCCTTATTGCACTGGCTAGCATCTCTAGTTCAACACTGAAGAGAATATGTGAAAGATGTCCTTGTCTTCCTTCTGATATTTGCAGCTGTCTTTCTTGTTTTGCAGCAGGGAGAGAAAGGGAAAATGGACTCCAGGAAGGTTATCTGGAGAAGGTGATGTTGAGTTGGGTCTGGAGGAACCAATAGTTGGAGAAGGAGTAAGAGCATTTTAAGTAGAAAATATGTAGATAGAACATAGTGTATTTCAGAAAATAGAAAAAATGTCATATGAAAAACTTCCAAAATTTGGAAATTTGGTCCTCATATTTCCTCCTTCCCCTACTCTTTTCCCCCCATATTTATAGTCCCATTCCCCCCAACTCTGCTTCTTATGAAAAAATTCCTGACCCACCACTCCAGAGCCCTTCTGGTTTATGTGTTCATCCTCCCACAAAATATAGTCTCCAGAACTGAACCCAGTTCCAGGTGTGACTAACCAACCAAAATGCAGGTACATATTGCTCTCTTGGTCTTCACATTGTAATTATAGGATCCAAATGCATGTGACCCACTTACCTACACCTGCTTTCTCTGAATATAATTTTGGTGTTTTGATGGAACTAAACCTGGCAGCAAACTCTATGCTACTTTCATTATTTGATTAAAAAACCCAAGGAGTCTTGTTCATCTTAATATTTCTTGTTATGCAATCCAGCCTGGGTCTAAGTATATATTTCTTCTTTCATTTAAAATAAGCTGTTTTGTCTTTTTGGGATGAAGAAGACCTTTACTGCAGTGGGAATTACTCAGAGATATTTGCATTCATGTAAATGATCATCCTGCTGTTTTTAGGGAACCTTGATGAAGTCTGGGGGAGTTCCATATAATTGTTTTACTCCATGTAATGAGAAACCGATATTAAATCCTTCTGATAGAAAATAATTACAAGAGATTAGCATCTAGCATTTGTCCCAATAATATAGTGTCTGAAGGACTGAATATCTCCTCTGTAAATTATTCTCGGCAAACCATGCTTTCAAATTTTTCTCAAAGCTTGGCAGGATAGATGATAAGGTCCTATTTCCACATATTTCATTACTATTCATTATTTCTTATTTACTCTTTTCCTCTATGGAGCTTGCAACCTGGCAGGTAGTCCTTTAAATAAATGACCCCCACATATCTTCCCACGTACACTCAAACACACATGTGCAGATATGTGTATATGCATATGTACTATACACACGCAGAGAAGGACCTCTTATCCATTAATGTAAGCTAATGTGTCTTTTTGAAAAAGATTTTTTATTTATGTTAGAGAGAGAGAGAGCATGAGTGGGAGGGGCAGAGGGAGAGAGAATATCAAGTAGACTCCCTGCTGAGCCTGATGCAAGACTCCATCTCAGGACTATGAGATCAAACCTGAGCCATAACCAAGAGCTAGACACTAAGCCAACTGCACCACCCAGGCACCCCTAAGCTAATGTGTTTGTTTATTTTTTAATTTAAAAAAGTATTTTTTTTTGTTTAAAGATTTTATT